TACCTCCTCCTAAGCATTGACCTATAACTAGGATTTTGGTTTTCTCAAGGAAAGCTGGACTTCTAATGCCTCAAATGACTTTCATGGTTCATCATAGGTCCTCAATGATTCTTATGTCAAGTTTCAAGCCTTACATCACAAGTTTTCTCAGTCAATTGCTCAGGTGATTGAGAATCAACTGTATTGGGTAAAAAGTCAATTGTGGTCAATATACAGTCAAACTTCAATATTTTTTGCCAACATAAACATTTTGAGGTGATATTCATCATTTTATCAAGGGTTGACCATGATTCCTCTAGGAAATCCCTCAAATCATCAAAGGGAAAAAATTGCCAGGTCTTGACTAAAGATGACCAATCATTGACTTTTGGCCTAGTGCATGACCTAATGGCTTGAAGCATTATCTCAATGACTGAAATATAACATCTTAACCTAATTAAATGGCTCAAAAATGTTTCCAAATATGCAAGTGATTGATAGTTAAAGAATTGAATCAACTGATTAAAAGTCAACAGTCACTCAAAAGTCAAACTTTGACTTTTTGGTCAACATTGGAATTCAAAAGTCAAGAATCATCAAGACATTCAAAAATATCAAACTTGATCATTAAGAAATAAAAAATTCAAACAAAAGTCAAATTTGGAAAATTTTCTAACACTTAGAAAAATTCTAAGTGTTTTTGTTCTTAACAAAAACCCTAACTTCACAAGCAAGTTTCCTCAACATGCAAGCTAATTCAAGGAAAAATTTCAACATGAAAGTTTTAGGGATTTATGATTCTACAACTTTGTTAATGTGGTATAATCCTCAAAAAGTGCTTAATTTAAGAGATATAATCTCATGAAGTTATGATGTTTTTTATCCAACACTTAGATTTTTTTTACAAGTTTTGATCAGATTTTTGTCCCAACTTCATGGCCATTTTTCACCATGTTCCTATTTGATTTAGCCCAAACTCACAACGTGAAAGTTGTAGAAAATGTTCCAAGCTTTCCAAAATGTCATTGAACACAATTTTATCATGCTTGAGCAAGGATAATCGAAGAGATGAAGTTCGGTTTCTAAGGTTGCATTATAGATCATTTTGTGACAAGTTCATAACCCAACCTTCAAGCCATGATGCATAATCCCACTTTTCAGGCCTCTAACCTCCAAATCTATCCATAATCAGAAGATTACACATACTTTTGAGCCATGATCCAAGTGATTAAAACTTTATCCAATCCATTTTGGCATTTAAGGGAGAAAGGTTACATTTCCATTCATGTAAAGCAATCTTTAATCACAAAGTCAACTTCTTAAGCTCCCAACTTGTTGCATCTGAGTACAAGCAATCTATAACATTATAAGTAACCTCCCTGCACCCAACACACCATAGATCATGCTTGTACTTGAACCTTAGAACCATAGAAACTCATCCAACTTGATTTTTCACTTTTTCAAACCATAACTTCTTATCTTTCAATTCTGGTTACTTGAGTCTTCCAAACATTATCTTTATAAATAGAGAGATCATTTGCAAGCTAACACACAAATTCACAACTTCAAAAACATCTCAAAATCAAAAGCTACATATAAAACTCCATTTGTTGCAACTTCTGACCTTAAACACCAAAACCTCAATCCACTCATGCATTTTCACTCTAAATCATTTACAAAGTTTCTATAACTCATATATAACTCATACAAAGACCTGTTTCATCACTGTAACACCATCTTCGAAACTCAAAAACAGAGCTTTGCAACTTGAAATGTCCAAAAGAATTGGGGTACTCTCAACCCAATGCAAGCATTGCAAAAGCTTTCTGGGTGTTAAGTGAAGCTATCAAGATCATCCTAACACATCCAGAAGTGCTCCAACTTCAAACTCGATTCTCACTTTTGAGATAAGTTTTCTAAACTTTGAAATCTCTATACAAGCATCATTTGCAATTATTTTTTAAAACAAAAATGTAGATATCAATACCCTGAAGCTAACCATGTCCTTAGTTTTCATTTATGTTGACCGTGTAATGAGAATTTTAGATATGAAATTTCTGAAATATTAGGGTTCAGTTTGATACCAACAAAAATTCACTTTAATCTTTGAGTTTTAGCTTAAGTTAATGGCATGGTTGAATTCGTGGTGAAATTTAGAACAACTTTGATGTTTATATTTTTCAAAAAGGTTGAGAAATGAAAGAGTTTGAAAAATAAAAAATGTTGGGTTATGTTCTGGCATGAGGAAGAAGATGAAGTTCATAACTTTTAACTTATGGACACGTTTTATAATATATTTATTGATGGCTATTTTGTAACCGGATGAAACAGCCATCCTAGTGGCAAGCGTTTGTGTGTCTGTTGAGCGTTAGTGTGTCAGGACAGGGGTTCGATCCCTGCCTTTAACATTTTATTTTTCAATATTTTCTTTGTTGATCAGGTGCAAGAAACTCCAGTGTGCAATGGTATACTCTCAACTCAACACCCTTAGATGATCATCAAGTCAAATTAAATGCTTCAGATTCGCATGGGCATCATGGATCCTTTGAAGCCAGCTGCACTGGTTCCATCACAGCGCCTGGATCTTCTTGTTTGTTGGGCCTGGATTTTTTTTGGTTTCTCACCCCCCATTTTTCTTTTGCAGTGCCAGGCCCATTTAAAATTCTTTTTTTTCCTCTTTAAATTATTGGTTTTCTTTTTAATAATTTTTTATTTAAATCAGAAAATCATAAAAATGATTAAAAAAATTAGATTTAGGTTTTTATTAGTTAATTTAATTTTTGACTAATAAAAATTAATTTAATTTAATTACTTTGATTTTATTTAATTAGAATTAGGTTTTATACTTCAAATATCTTTTCTAAATAAAACATCAAACATATTTTCTAAATACTTAGAATTCTTTAGATTAATTAATTTAATTTTTTGATAAATTAATTTAATCACACCTTATTTTATTTTAAATAATTAATTTGTAAATAAAATTAGAATTATGTCTAAATTTTTATGTCACATTTCAATCATTTTCTAAACAAAAACAATAAAATATCTTCTTAAAAATACATAGTAATTTTTAGGATTTTTTGCATCTTTCCCCTTTCTATCTCTGCGCATTTGTTTATTTTTCGCATTAATACAGTTATGTAACTGTCAAAGGCTTGTAATAAATAATTAAGGTTTATTGCTTTACATCCACATTCATAAACTTGTACTCCTATCCCCGAAATGTTGTAATAGCGTATGGCATTTAAATTTCGCGGTTTACTGCTCTCCTTATTACTGTTAGTAATTAGGGTTTGTATGGTAAGACTAAAAGAAAATATTAGAAAATCTAATCTCAAGACAAAATACTTGAAATCAAAATACTTCGCACACACACACCTCTAGGATAACCTCTCTTGTTGCCTCAGATATAAACAACCATGTTCCTCGAACGTGAGATGCTTTAGCAAAGACCCACGATTAAAAGATCGTAGTCCATCGATGATCCTTCGATGTTTCCTTTCGGTAAACGATCTTAATCCCTTACGAAAATTGCTAAAGCGTCTTACAAGTTGTCTTCTATGACTGTACGATGACCCGCACCTGTCCCTCACATCCAATGATAAGGCTTCCTACTAACTAATAGTAGAGTGACACTATCTAAAGGAGGAGGAAAAGAACAAAGACTCTTTAAGTAGGTAGATCTCTCGTAATCGCTTTCTCACAAACTAGTACAATTTTCACACCTCACACATTCAAAATAATTACTTTCAAAACGCTTTATGAACACTCTTGAGGACTTATACGAGGGTTAGTATAAAGCAAATTGCCTTACATTGGCATTTTCAAAGTATCTTTTCACAAAACAACACTCTCTTTCATAAATATTTTCAAAAACAAACATTTTATATACATTCTCAACAATATGAGAATCATTACAAAATTGTCGCGCTTATGTGTTTTTCAAAATATTTTCAAACATACACAAATACGAAGCATTATTTCAAAGTGAGTTAGCAATTAAGAGCCCGTAGATAACTACGGATGAAAAGGATGCTAACACCTTCCCTTTTCATTACCTATCCCTCGAACTCAAGAAAATTCTCAAAAGTCTTTCCTGTTCTTTTCACCTTTTCCTTTATTGGATAAAATAAAAATCGGTGACAACTTTTACTATCCGCAACATTTGCGATAAAACACAAAACCCAAAAGTTAATTCTCCCATGTATTACACATCTCTTCATATCTCTGCGTATTTAGATGCAGATTGTAGGGGCTGTATTACAACAAGGAAACCTATTACATGATTTTGCATCTTTATTGGTAAATCATTGATAGCTTGGAGATCTAAAAAGCAAGTAAATGTGTCAAGATTATCAATTAAAGCAGAATAAGTAGCTTTGGCTTCGCAACATTTGAACTGTTGTGGCTGAAACAACTCATAGGGGCATTCGATTTTATGTTCCATCTTGCAAAGTCTTCTGTAACATTACATCAGTAATTCAAATGGCAAGCAAGCCTATAAGTCATGAAAGAGTTAAACACATTAACTTTGATTGTCATTTTATTCGAGAACATGTTTCCGCAAACTTCATCAAATTGATTGACATTTCATCTAAATATCAACTAACAGACCATCTTACTAAAGGTCTTCCAAAAAATTGTTTTCACTACTTAACAATTAAGTTGAAAATTTGCAATACATACCTCCCAACTTGAGGGGGAGTATTATGAACTTAATGTAGAAGTTTGTTATGGGTATTTATTAGTTGTTGTAACTAACTAACTGAAAGTTAGTTATTGAGTTTAACTACTTTTCAATCTTTCATTTTCCATATAAGTGTAAGATGTCACTTGTATGTGATAAATACACTTCAATGAGATAACTTCTCATCATGTATTTCATAAGTTACAATACTACATGCATTATTTTTTGTCAATTTCAGAATATTTATTTACCTATAAATAATATATATTTTTTTGCATAAAAACACCTAACAACAACAAATTGACCAAGTCACGATTTATGACAAAGCTTTCTATAAAACTAGTTTCATGAAGAAAAATAATAAGGCAGCCAGAGATAACACAGCTAGCACAGTGCATAAAATTGATCTTCTTGCATTATTGCCAGATTCTCCCCTTAATGAACTTAGCAAAAAGACTTCTTTGAGGTTTGTCTTCATTTTCTGTATCAGGTGAAACATAAAAATAAAAATAAAAAAGCAGATTTTTCTTCATTAGAAATGACACACAACCATAAATTAATCATTGTAGGTTCTTAAAGTACAAAATAGTATCACCAAAATATAAATTATTGCATGCATACCAATCTCATAAAGGGTTCCAAGAGTAGCAATGGCTCCATAAACATTTCAATATTTCTGAATTAGACACAAAAATATATGTCACCAACAGTAACTAATCTTAATTAATTAGTTGAAAATTAAACGTGTTAATTAATTCGAGAACAAACTTTATTACTGCCTTTCCACGGTAAGTTTGGCATATGTGGAAGCTGAAACCTTTCCCTAAAGGAACATGTATAGTGTTCCATTCTGCACATGGAAGAAATCTTATAAGATTAATTAAGGATAATTTATTACTTGAGAATCTTGATTATGCGAGAGGAGAGATTATAATATTTATTTACCAAATTTCCAATGAACACCAACATTCATGCCGTCATGAAGACTTGGTTTCACCACAATTTGAATGTTGTCACCAAATAAACGTATCATATTGGAAAAGAATTCCAACACTTGCTACAATGCAAAAACGGATACATGCACCATAAGAAAATATGAGTTAAATATATGAAATTGTGATTGAGCAAAGCTCTCATCTGCGCGCCAATGTATATACTAAATTACTAATCTCTCGAGTCGCGAAAAACATATCAGTTTACATAATTAGGTATCATCTGCGTGCAAATGTATATATGAAATAAATTATTATATAAAAAAATAAGAGCAAATACCGATTTTCCTTGGAAAGTTTGGAAGAATGAAAAGAAATTGCACACACATCTACATTCATCTGCAAGAATGTCAGATAATTCTTGCATGTTTTTATTTTTAAACGAAGAGTAAAGTTTCATAACTGCATCTAGGGCTTCATCATCATCATCTTCTCCTCCCATTGGTTCTGAGTTCTTAGCATCAAAGGCAAAAAGGGATAACCCTCTTTGCTTTCTAGAATACAATTTTTTTTGAGTTGAAGTTTGACATGAATATGGAGAAAGAGAGTTTCCATGTTTATGAATATTTGTACGTAGCTTTCTAGGAAGGGAAATATGATTGTAGGGTAGTGTAGAAAATGGCATTATTCCGTTGTTACATTTTATGGGACCATTGATTGAAAAGAGAGTCATTGAAGATGTGAACAAAGTGAATAAGTACAATCTTCAAAGCAAAAGAGAGAGAAAAAAAGTGTTATATAGAAGATGAAGAAATTAATTCTTTAATCATAAGGCAAGGTTGGAGAATATTTGATGATATAAAAGGGTACAAACAATTGATCCTTGATATAACTTCAAAGCTAGGTATTTCCGTAAAAAATTCATATATAAATCTAAGATTTCAACCGACATATACACATTTATTTTTATTTCTCTTTTTGTAACCAATTTTTTAAAATCTTATTATCATATATAACTATTTATATTTATTATAAGCATCTACATTCATAACATTTAAAATGAGTTTCTAAATGGATCCTGCATCTTCGCATCGTTTTGTTAATATATTTTTTTATATTTGAATCTATATAATATAAGAAGATTAGTTCTTTTAGAAAATTCTCTTTTACCTTTATGTGCTTTTTTGCCACGTCATTAATTTAAGGGCAATTTTAGTTTAAACTAGTGAAATATTTTGTGCGTAATATATTTATTTAATTAAATATTAAATATTTTCACAGAAATAAATAATATTTTTATTCATTATTATCATATTATTGACGAAGTAAATATATATTAGACGTAATTAAAAAATTGAGACATAATAAAAAGACAAATTTATAAAGATTAAAATATATATAATAAAGTAAAATATAAATTTTTATAAAAATTAGAATATATATATATATATATATATATATATATATATATATATATATATATATATATATATATATATATATATATATATATATATATATATATATATATATATATATATATATATATATATATATATATATATATATATATATATATATATATATATATATATATATATATATATATATATATATATATATATATATATAAGTAAGTAGAATATATATAAATATTAGAATATAAATTTATAAATTTTTCATTGAATAAAAATATATGTAGTTAGAATGAAAAAAAAAGTCATAAAAAAAAGCAAACAATATATATAATAAGATCACAAAAATTAGGAATAATATAATAGTTTAAACAAATGAGTTGTGGAATGAGTTGTATTTGTCAATAGCTTAAACAAATTGATCAGAGGCTCAAATATAATTATAATGGGGAATAGGTAATGGAAAACTCAAAATATGAAGACAAAAAGTTTTCATATATAGTAGCTTGAAGAAACGTTTCACTCAGTTGCACGTTTGAAGAACAACTTCCACCAATGTTCTCACTGTCTGTCAGGTTTCTAGAAGAGAGTCAGCAGTTTGCTATATCCTTTTGAAAAATGGCAGATAGATCGGTTTTTAATCCAGAAAGAAGGTGATGTTTCTTGTTATTTTGTTTTTGCATGCGTTTTATATGGAGTAGTTTTTTGCAAAAATATTTAGATCGTTGTTGTATTGTTGTTACGTTTGTAGGTACATTAATGAGATGTCGGCCGAAACAGAATGGCGGCGATTGAGCAGAGAAAACCTGATTTGCCTTGTGTTGGAAAAGCGCGATGTTGGTTTAGAATGCAATAAAGGATGGAAAGTGAGGAAATCTACAAATGCTGTTGATGGTGGGGGAAATGCATGCAACTCCAAGGAGGATCGTTGAGTCTCGACCGCAATCGCAGGGATTGCAAGGGCAAAAGTGTTGTTCCAATTGAACCCTCAGTCCAGCGCGAAATAGAATGGAAACGATTGATCAGGGAAAACGTGATATGCTGTGTGTTGGACAAGCGGAAGGTCAGTTTATAATGGAAGAAAGTTTGGCAAGGTGGAACATCTACAAATGCGGATGATGCTCGAAGGAAACACTTGCAACACCAAGGAGGATTGTTGATTGTCGACCGCATATGCAGGGATGTCAAAGGAAAAACCATTCTACCAACTGAACCCTCTGTCTAGCGTGGAGTTGGTACTGGAAAGAGAAAGATACATGCAAGTGATAATTATCAATCAACGAAGCAGACTGGGAAGGCAAAGAAAGGCAAAAGCACTGGAAGGTATATTAATATGTTATGTTAGTTTGATGGTAGTTGAATATAAGTTTGGACAAGTTGCTTTGCTTTAGAACACATATATGAAGCTGTGTAATATAAGTGTTTTATTTTGCATGGCTGAGTAGTTTTTACATAGTAAAGCTTAATATTACATTTATGTTATTGGAGCCATAATGATTTAAACAATATAGCATTGTGGTTGTGTATATTCCGTGTTGTTGTGATGGTTGTTGTGTATTATGATTTAATGTTCTTCAGGTATTGGATATAAGAGTGTGATGCAGTTTATGTTGTTGTGTGGTTGATATTTTTATTCAGGTTGAAGAATGTTGTACATGTTGTAAGTTCAAGTTTGGTGTAAGGTTGAAGGAATTAATAGGAGAAAGAATTCAATAATAGTTTTGACGGCATTTCTTTATATTTTTCCTCCTCACTTGTTTGATCTGCTTTGTAGATGTAAGTTGAGTATTATTTGAAAATTGAAATTTGGTTTTGTAAGTTGAAGTATAATTGAAATGTAAAATCGAACCATGTTTGGATCTCCATATATTGAATATTATAAATCAAATGCGCTTCCATTTATTATACAAATATATTATTCAAACCAAGCACATGCTTAATTTTACATAACAACCACGTTACCAATGGGTGATGAAAAGTCAATTTGTTTCTACTGGCATGACACTTAAACCAGCAAAATTAGCAACCTCGACTACATGTAAATAGGACTACAATAAATTTCTTTCTCAGTAGACCAAAACAGTGCGAAAAAATCACAGAACCTAAACATACTTTTCGGATTTATAAAAATATGTATTGTTAAATAGTAGTTAAAAGATAGAGAGAAATAAATATGACAAAGAAATTATGAATGAAATAAATAAAAAAAACATTTAAGTTGATAAATATATTTTATAAGATATTGAAATCATGTGTAAATAATAAAAATATGTGTAAATAGTATTATTAAAATATAACTTTAAAGAAATATAAATAACTTTATAATTGAATAAAAATATATGTATATACAATGAAAAAATAACATATATGAAATAGTTGAAAATATTATAAAATTATTTAAATGAATAAGTCGGTTCCTATACTTCTTTAAATATATAAATTATTTGAATGAATAATAAGTTAAAATAAAATTTATTTAAAATTATTTTGGAATAGTGATTAAAAATAATTTGAAATTAGAATAAATTTAATAACAAAAAATAATCGATAACCAAGAATTAACAATAATAATAAAAGAATGAGATTATAATTTTTTTTATAAATTCAAATTTATATGTTACAACAGAAAGTGTATTAAAAGAAAAATGTATACCTCTAAACTATTATATGTTGTAGTTAAATAATATAATATATAATAACATTGAAAAAAATAAAAACATACTAAGTGTATAAAAGATATAACATATGTATGTCAAAATATGTAACACGTGTTTCAAAAACATGTCTATGGAAGTGTTGAAACTGAAAAACCAAAGGTACCAAAAAGAACCTTTTGTATTTTATATGTCATTTAGTATACCAATAGAATAAAAAGAACTTTCCTCTTCCATTTTCTTCCCGCAGGTATCCAACAAAGATCATCTTTTCCTGTCTTTCCATGAAATTTGAAAAATGGATCATAGAAACCTAACATGGTGCATCTCTGGGTAAGATAAAACATGGATTTCTATTTTTCTCCTTATTTACATATTATATGTTATACAAATTACTCAAGTAGAATTAAACATGCAAAGTTGTATCCGTTGCATGGTGTCTGAAATGAATATTTTTGGTTACTTTCTTGTTTTGAAGGAGTTTTATTGGCAGATTTCATAAAGTCATGCCTCCAGAAACAGTTTGGAGGCGACTTAGCAGGGAGAAAGTCATATTTGGTGATTCTGAGAAGCGGAATTTTGTTTCAGAATGGAAGAAAAAGTTTGAAGCTGCAAGAAATGAGAATGCAATTGACAGTGGATCAGCAAGGCATGCCACAGCATCTACAAATGTCATTGATGGAAGCGAGAAAAGCAAGAAACATCGAGTTAGATCGTCAACTGTTAATCGCATACACAGGGATGCCAAGGGTAAAGGTGTTGTACCAGGTGAACCGTCCATCGAGGGAGGATTTGATGTTGGTAAGAGAAAGACACATGATGTTTTACCCCAATTTTTGCCCCTAAGATCCCTTCATCATACTATATTGATTCAATCACAACAAGATCACATCAGGGTTCTTGATTCTCCTCCCTACCTTTAGCTTTGCTCTTTGAGGAATCATAAAGCACCTTGACTTATTTTCTTTTATGGTCATGAATAATTTGTCTTGATTTTTCCTTTTAATTAATAAAATGAAATGTTAGTTTGTCTTGGTTGTTACTAATGTAGGTAAAGGCAATGAGATTTAGCAAGTTGCTCCATGGGTCTATGAGTTTATTTCCATTCCCTAGTCAATAAAGCTTGAGAAGTTCAAACCTCACCATTGGATTTGTTTTAGAATAAATGGCATGGAAAGGTTATTTTGGTTTACCACATTTCAAGGTTATCAAATTTTATTCAAAAGTACAAGGGGTTGATTGAAGAAGTTGTCATGCTTGGACAAGGCTTTGTTCCCATTGGTCAAAAGTGAATATTTCTATCAATTATCAAGATATGGAAGTGGTTTTGGTGGCTATGAGTTCTCATTTTCATCCTCAACAACTTCTATTTACAAAGCATTTGTGTTGGTACAAAGAGTTTGTTCAAAATTGTCAAAGTTCCTCAAAGCATTTTCTTGATCTAGGAGCTAGGGTTTTGAACTTCAAAGAAGCATATCTTGCTCATCTTTTGGTATTTTTGGGTGATTCCAAAAACATCCTTCTATTCAAAGGTTTATAAACAAATCACTTCAAAAGTTTCTAGGAGTTTTCATGTGGAAGAAATTTGATGATAAAGAAAGATTACAAGTCCTCCAGATGAACCCCCAATTTCTCATGTGTGACTTAAAATGAAAATAACTTGG